TTGACAAATAAGAAAACAAAATAAGAAGTGGTATTGGGTGAATCGGGGAACTGCCCAACGTGGGGTTAAAGCAAAGCTTTGCACTGTGTTTGTGTGTCTCCCCCAGAGACCAGCGCTGATCAGCACAACATCTGGTCACAGCTGGAGTGAGCGGCCACTGGCATCAAGCTCAGCATCTGGCAGCTTGAGCCCCTTTTACGCAGAGGTGACAATCCGATGGTTCTGTGAGAGACACAGACACAACAACCGCCTCCGGCAGGCCTGAGCCAGTTCCATCCCACGTCAAAGTTTCCATCCAACTCATTAGCTTCAGCTCACTACGTAATGTTCAAAAACCCTGAACACACACACCCACACAGAGACACATACACACAGAGACACATACTCACACACAGTCTCACACACACTCACAAACAGACTCACACACACCCACACACACAGAGACACGCGCATATACACACACACACACACACACACACACACACACAAAACGCCATCGATGAGCTGAAAAACATCAGAGCCTCACAAACTCCTCAGCAAGAGTAACATAATTCTCATAATAATCCTTGCATTTTATATAGCGCTTTCACACGTCGTTGAGACGTCTCAAAGAGCTTCATGGGATACACTGTGAAGTGAATTGATGGTGTTTTTTGTTTGTGTGTGGACGAAATGTGGCAGCTAATTGCACACAGCAGCGTCCCACAAATAGTCGTGGATTGAGTGAGCAAATTATTATCCCTTTTGAAAGATTATTACACCAATCGAGTAGGTAAGCATAGGCGTGTGGAGTAAGCAAACTTGCCGGAGGTTTAGTCCCGCCAGGGAATTGATCCCGGATCCTCTCGCTTGCGAGGCAAGTGCTCTAACCAACATACTACAGGACTCCATATAACAGTCAGTGACATGGGGCGCTGGCCTGGGAATGTGGGGGGCGGAAGGGTGGAGGTGCAGAGAGGACACTGCTCGACAGATAAACAAACCACGTTTAAACCGGATTCAAAATAGTCCATCATATCCTTAAATTACTGCTAGTTTAATCTGTCAAATCATTTTGTTTTAGCATTTAAATGTGATGCTCGAGACTTTCCTCTCTCTCTGGTACCCACACATCTCTTTCTCTAACTGGTATCTAACTCTCTCTCCCTCTCTCTCTGTTTCTCTCTGGTTCCCACCCATCTCTTTCTCTCTGGTCCTCCACTCTCTCTCTTGCTCTATGCTGTGCATTCAGTTCCCGCTATATCCTGGCCGCAGATTACATATTGTCTTCCTGACAGGTACGTTCAAAGGAGTGTGCAAGAATATTGATCACTTCCCTGAGGATGCAGACTATGAACAGGACACAGCAGAATATTTACTGCGTAAGTCAGTCCGGAGAGAGATAATTCCTTACTTAAGGATGTTTTATTTTCCTGAGAAAAAGTATCAACGTGTTTGGGACCGAAATCTGAAGGGGAGCTAATAATAATATTAATAATAATCCTTGCATTTGATACAGAGCCTTATCATGTCTTCGAGACGTTTCAAAGCGCTTCACAGGATACACTGTGAAATCAATTGACCGTGTATTTTGTGGGCAAAACGCGGCAGCCAATTGTACACAGCAGCGTCCCACAAACAGTCGTAAATGTAAGGATAATTATTATTAATGATAATGTTTTGTGGGCAAAATAAACTACCCCAAGGCAATGTGATTCCTTTCTAACATATTCACATGATAAACGTCAAGCTGTTGGCGTGGATGCTGTGGTCCTGACTCAAAATCTCTCCGCAGGGATTGTCCGCTCGTCCAGTGTCTTTCCCATAATGAGTGTGGGTCTCCTGTTCTTCGGGGGTCTCTGTGTCGCTGCCAGTGAGTTCTACAAAAGCAAACACAATGTTGTCCTCAGCTCGGGCATCTTTTTCGTATCAGCAGGTTTGTGCATTTACTGGAGCTTCGACCATCCCCTTTCTGCCCCACCTTGCTCCCCCCCACCTCCCCCCCACCACACACACACACAAACATAGAGACACACACGCAAGTGCATATACAAAAAAACACACACACATACCAACACACACACAGCCTCAAACCCACTGCCCCGTCTTTCACACAAATTTAAATCTGATTTATAAAAACAGAGACAGGCAATAACATTGGTCTTTTGGCCTCGTTAGGATTCAGCTCTGCCTGACACAACAAGTCTCCTCTCCCTCTCTCTCTCCACTCACTGTAAAGGTCGCGGGTAAATGAGACGAGACAGACATGAATCTGTCACAGCGTTACAGAGATACAGTTATGTTTACAGTCTCTGCCTTAGACAAGCAACAAGAGGAGCCAGAGGAGCATTGCAGGTATCTTGTTAGGGCACAACTGAGACACTGCAGAGGGAGCTTTACTGTGTCTCTAACCCTGACCCAGGAGTGTGAATCTCTTTGCGAATCTTTCACTAAAGTCGTCTCTCATTCTCTCGCTCAGGTTTAAGCAACATCATAGGGATTATTGTCTACATATCGGCAAATGCCGGGGACCCTGGGCAAAGCGATTCCAAAAAGAACAATTACTCGTATGGATGGTCCTTTTATTTCGGGGCGCTGTCCTTTGTGATCGCTGAGACGGTGGGGGTGCTGGCGGTGCACATGTACATCGAGAAACACCGGCAGCTCAGAGTCACGTCCCGCACCGACCTGTTCAAGCGCTCGGTGCTCGCCCGCATCCCGAGCTACCGTTACCGCTTCCGGAGACGCTCGAGCTCCCGCTCCACCGAGCCCCGGTCCCGGGACGCCTCCCAGTGGGCGGCAAAGGCTACAGCGCGGCGACGCCATCCAGCGAGATCTCCATGTACACTCTGCCCAGAGACCCTGCCAAAGCCGTGCCCGGCCCCGGCCCCCGCCTCAGCTCCGAGAGAGACCCCAAGTTCCTGCAGGTCCACAACTGCCTTTCCAAAGACTCCAAGGATTCTGCCCAAGCGGCAGCCAACAGGCGGACCACACCCGTGTGACCGGCCGGAGGGCAGCGGGCACCGGGCACCGCCAACCAGACGCCGAGAGACTTGGCCGGCCACCCAAGCGCCGTGCACCGCTCGCAGGGAAGGTTCCGCCGTTTCTCAAGCCGGGGCTCAGGACAAAGAGAGAACAGTGACTGAGCCTGAGTCCGAGGGGTGGCTTTTACTTGCACAACTTCACAACAGAGACACAGAGAAAGAACAAACATCTCACTCGGGTTTGGGATCCACGGAAAATCCGTTCCCCTCCCCCTCCCTCCCCCCCCCCCCCACCGTGGAACTTCAGTGACACTGAAAGGTTTTTCTGTTTGCCCAAGAACAACTGGGCCAGACTTATCTCGTGTGTGCGTGTGTGTGTGTGGGTGGGGGGGGTGGTCTCAGCCCCCAGCAGTCGGGGTTCAGCCTGCTGTGACCTCTCTCCCCCCAGCTAAAGCGTGCATGCTTCCCACCCCCACCCCACTCACCACCACCCCCCTCTCCCCCCGCTACGACCCCCATCCCAGGGAGCGGGCGGTTTTATAAGTGCAAAGAAATGGACTCAATCCTCGCGTTAAATGCTTCATATTTTATTAACGTTCTGAATTAATAACTGCAGTTCAAATTAAAATAGTTCAGCTGCAACTTTAACAAAAAAAAGCACAGAATTAGCGATTAAACCTCACCGATTCATGTAAAATCGTAGTGGACGCGGAAATAAAGTCACCAGGATGAACTTTGATTTTTCTTAGCCTTATATTTAAATGTTTGGAGCAAAAGAGACTGAGGGGGAGAGTGGTGTCTCATCCTTGCATTTGATATAGCGCCTTATCACGTCATTGATACGTCTCAAAGCGCTTCACAGAATATATTGTGTAAAGTGGAGTGACTGTGTATTTTGTGGGCGAAACACGGCAGACAATTGCACATAGCAGAGTCCCCACAAACATCCGGGGATTGAGTGACCACATTTCCTAATTTTTTTTGGAGGGATTATTACTCCCAGAAAGCGATTCGACTACCAACTGGGTTCCTATTTGCTGCTAGGTAAACGGAGGTGTGTGGAGGAAGGAAACTTGCCTAAGGTTTCGTCCCTAAACTTGCCGAAAGAGTCCCCGCTTGCCCCTCTGTCCACTCCCAAGTGGATAGTCACTGGTTGGTTAAGTGAATCTGACAAGTGTAGGTTCGAGCCCTCACCAGGTGACTAGCAGCTAGGATTTCTCTATTACCTTGGTGGTGGCTGGAGGTGGCACTGAGCCTGCAAACCGAAAGAGAGAAACGTGCTCAATTATTCCTTCCTCTGGGAGGTGGGGCAGGTCGACAGATTGTCTCTCAATGTTAAATAACATTAAATAGAGACAATCGCAAAACACTTCTAAATCTGTCTGTCTACTTGGGGACTATCAGGTAATGAAATCTACACTTTCCCCGGCTCAGACATCTCACTGGGAGCGAGTGAGTTGAGATGTCACTGCTGTTAATAGCACATTGCTCTCCAGTGGCCACTAAAAAGGAAACGGATTGAGGGCACAGTGCCCTTGATTGGAGGCAAGTTCCTTCCCAATATCTCTCATACCCAGCCATGTGCGGGGCTGTGATGCCTCCTGGAAGTGTTTATGGAATTGCAGGCGTGGCATCTGGTGCTGGAACCTGCGTATTGAGCTCTGGGTCACTAGCCTGCGTGAGGGACACTATATAAATGCAAGTTGTTGTTATTTTATTGTTCTCCTGGTTGCAATAATCATTTTATTTGGGGGACTGCCGGTCAGTTTGGCAATTTGTTTTCAGCCTCATCTTGCTGCAATCCATTTCCACACGTCCTGTCCACACATCCATCTCAGCATGTCATCCTGTTTGAAACCTTTTCGAGTTTCTTTATTTCACCACCAACTTTTTACTGAAGACATTCTACACCTCCATTGTCCTTAGTTTACAGCCTCTTGTTCTGTTCTCTACCCGGCATGAAAAGTTCACATTTTCTGAAAGCTTTCAAACTCCTCTATCGAGCAATTACTGGGTGTATCCCCTCTCCCCAAAAACACCCTTCACCCCCCCCTCTACACACACCCTCTACACACACACACACACCGTGCTGTACAGTACAGCAGTAACTGGTTGTATGTAATTAGATTCTAAAGGAACAAGATCGTGTAGTGTAGACCATGATGAGCTGTTTCACCTGGTCCAGAACAGTAGAACTAGAGGACACGGCATGTGATTGAAGGGGGCGGGGAGGGGGGGGAATTCAAAACTAATCTGCAGAAACTGCTGGTGCCTTTCATATTGGGTGGGAAGAGGAAGGTTCCCATTCGTTGGTTCCACATCAGTCACTGGCAGAGCGAGGGGTGCAGGGCTGTGCTATAGCATGGGATCACTTATGTTCCTACACTGAAGCTCCTGCATACCTACCTCACTCCATCCACACTCCTGAGCTGAGGAAGCGGACTGATTGGCAGGGGGTTAGGAGATCACAGAGATAGGTAGGAGCAAGGACATAAGAGGGCTTTGAAGGTGAGGACCAGGATCTTGAACTGTATCCTCTGTGCGATGGGAAACCAATGGAGTCAGGTGAGGATGGAGGGTGATAGGGTCACAGAGTCTGGTACAGGAGAAGACACGGGCTGCAGAGTTGTGGATGATCTGCAGCCTGTGGAGGGAGGAGTTGGGGAGGCCGACAAGCAGGGACTTTGATAGTTGAGCCTGGATGTGATGAATCCATGGGCGAGGGTCTCAGCGGCCTGCGGTGAGAGACATTGGCGGAGACAGGCAATGTTGCGGAGATGGGGAAAGGCGGAGCGAGTCATGGCACGGATGTGGGGGAAGGATAATTGAGGATCAAACTGGACGCCGAGGTTCAGTATTTGCTCCGTGAGGTGTAGAGTGCATCCATGAAGGGTGATGCTATCAGGGCCCGAGGTATGACAGGAGCCAAGCAGGAGGGTCTCGGTCTTGTTGACATTAAACTGGAGAAAGTTAGCCCTCATCCAGAACAAGATGAAACATCTCATCATGGTCTACACTATCCCGTCCTTTTAGAATCTTAAAAATAGTAATCATGGTACTTGGAACATCCCAGCTCAATTGACATCCTGCAGGCTTGGCAGCCATCGCTGGCTTCTTCAAATAATAATAATCATCGCATTTGATATAGCGCCTTATCACGTCTTAAGACGTCTCAAAGCGCTTCACAGAATGTAGTGTAAAAGCGAGTTGACTGCATATTTTGTGGATGAAACGTGGCAGCCAATTGCACAAAGCAGTGTCCCACAAACAGTCGTGGATTGAGTGACCAAATTATTATTTATTTTTTAAGGGATTATTACCCCCAGAAAAGCGATCCACCAATCGATTTACAACCTACTACCAGGTGAACAGAGGCGTGTGGAATAAGGAAATCTACCCAGTGTTTTGCCCTGCCCAGGAATCAAACCCAGGTGCTCTCACTCGCGAGGCGAGTGCTCTAACCACTACTCTACAGGACTCCACAATAAAATACAATCAATATAAACTTGATCTGAATTTAAAAAAATACAAAGCAGGTTTTTTTTCACCAAAATATTTAATTAGTTGCTTTTTACGTACAATAAACAAAAATAGCTGAAATCGTAGCCAAAGGAAATTCAAAATGGACAAAATGTAATTCATGGTTCACTTTTCTGCACAGCTTTGTTTAATTAAATAGAGGGATTTTAAGCGCTGATGATCTGGAGTTGGCCACATGTGTGGCTCTGTGCTGGATGAGGCTCTCTCTACACAACAGAGAACGAGTCAAGGTTCCGAGAAAGAAAGGCCATGTTCCACGTTAGATATGACCCATAAGAAATCACAGCAATAGCTTAGCAACCGAAAGGTACAGTAGCCACAGACATTGGATGTGAGTGAATTTGTTTTAAATACCATATTCAATAATCACCTACACAAACAGAATGCAGGAACACTACAGGCTTTGTAATGTGCAACTTCAAACAGGAGCCCAAAATAAAGAGACCAGCTGTGAAAGTGTGTGAAGCCATCGCGCTTTCACAAGGTGCATCTCCATCATGGAAGAGAGCCGGTCCCTAACACGAGCTTCAGACACAAAACGCACTGAAGATGGAGTCACTGAAGTAACTGAGAGCTAGTGATGGTCTTGTGTTTCTCTCTCACAATGCTTTCTGCACATCCTTCCAAGACCTGCAATATTGTTAATGGGGCTCAATGCTCTCCTGAGCCACCACCCAGGATACTCGGTGCTGCTGGAGATTATTTGCTAAGGGAACTAGCGACAGTCACTTCACACTCAGTGTACCACGAAAAACTCAACAACACAGAAATAAAAAAGAACGTTGGTCTCTCCCACTACACCCCTCCCCTTCCCCAAAGTAACCCCCCTCCTCCCCCCCACCCACCCCTACCCACACACACACACACACACAAACCCGACCACAATTTCTGTCATTGTCAAAAAGAATAATCTGGTTGCGTCCGAGAGATGTGCAAATAAGCAGGGAATGAGAAGCTCTTGTAAAAAGAATCATTTTTCCAGAAACGACACCTTTCTACGTGTCCCAATATAGCATCTATATAAATATTTCTTTAAATATTTCTTTTTTTTTTTAAGTGCACGTAATAACATCTCGTTACAAAAAGAACGTCCCTAAAGTAAAGCGATTCTGTGCCTCGAAAGAAAAAAATAATGAAAAGTGCGTCTTTAAATGAAACCAACTGATCAAAATGTGCTACTTGGGTTATTGGAAATAAGAGTAGTAGCCACTGTCGTTCAAGGAGGACCTCTTACTCAGGTCCTGCAATATAGAAATAGGGTCCACAGGCTTCCTGTCTGGCTCGGAGGGGGACTGCAATCTCGCTTTCGGTGCTGCTCGAACAACGCTGGCGTAAGATACCAAGTGTTTGGCCTCTGAGCACTTGGGAGGGCTCTGGAAGTGCAGGGCTTTGGTCGGGGGTCCCGGAGGCGTGAGGACAGAACTGCTCCCATTACAGCTCGCGATCTCCTCGGCCTCGACACTTGGAGAGTTTTGTCCTAAAGAGAGGCAGAGAAAAAGTGTTTTTACTCTTAAACCCGAGGCCGTGCTGGAGCTTTCAGAGAGAACCAATGCTCGATTTTATCGTCAATTATAATTCTTACATTTGACACCCACTCTGAAACAATCACTTTGTGTGACCTCCCTCCCTGCCTGACTGCCTCCTTCCCTCCCTCCCTGCCTCCTTCCCTCCCTGGCTCCCTCCCTCCCTGCCTCCTTCCCTCCCTCCTTCAGCTGCCTCCTTTCACAACACAAACTATTTACAGAACAGGTAGCAGCCTGGTTCAGTTAGTGGCACTCTCTCTCTCTCTCTCTGCCCTGAGCCAAAAGGTAGTGGGTTTAAATTCCAGCAACCAGGGGCACGAGACCCACCCCCCCACACACACCAGCCCCCCCCACACACACCAGCCCCACCGCCTCCCCCACCACCCACCCACACACCAGCCCCCCCATACATAAGATTTCAGGATTACACAAATTAAATATAATTTCCCAAATAAAAACAATATTATGTCAGGCAAACAGGCAAATACCGGGTACAAGGTGCCCATTGTACAACACTCCTTCTGGACTTAAGGAAGGAGACTGGGCGCTGTAACAGCTGATGGGGTTGTATGTTTCTTCCTCTAGGTCTCCCACAGGCAGCTGTCCAGCAGCCACAGGAGACAGCCGCTGGCTTGGGCTGCAGTACGGACTCGGTCCCCTGCTGCTCTCTACAGATGACGCTTCCTGGGGGCTGGGGGCTGATTGCCTCTGGTATAGCGGCCGGCCAGATACTCTAACTTCAGACTGAAATAGCAAGATCAGCACAATCAGGGGCACGCATAAAAACAGACATTTTATAATCACTTCATACTGCAGCTCACTCTGCAGCATGTGTAAGAGGTATCACCACTAGCTTTAATATCCTGTCTCAGCAGCCAGCACTCCCAGCTCAGTGACAGCACAGATTAGAGACACAGTAAAGCTCCCTCTACACCGTGCGTCCACGCTCCCAGGTCAGGGTTAGTTACACAGTAAAACTCCCTGCACAGTCTCCATGTATATCACTCACATCCCAAGGAGCTGAAGAGATACAGGGTAAAGCTCCTTCTAAACCGCCCGTCCACACTCCCAGGTGAGCGACAGCACAGGTTAGATAGAGTAAACCTCTAACCTACACTGTGTGATAAAGCACTGCAAAACGGCTGTTTGTTTTGACCCTTCCACACGACTCAAGACAATCAAAGGTTGAACAGGTGCAGGTAATATGTCAAGTAGATCAGCTTTCTTAAAGGTTATGTGCTCTGTGCCTTGACCTTTTCAGAGAAGTGGAAGGGCTGAGGGACCACTGCTTGGCAGCCACAAACTCACTCGCTTTTTTCTCCTAAATCAGCAAAGGTCAAGAGTTCTAAAAAATATTTGTTCTGTGCTGTCAAAGCTCTGAAGCTTATCCCATGGTCTGTGCATCAGTGTGATCTGAACACGTTCTGCATTGTGAGCACTGGAATGCTCAGCACAAGCCTACCTTCATGCTGGTTCTGTTTGCCTCTTTAATAATAATAATACACGGACAGTGTAGAGGGAGCGTTACTGTGTCTCTAACCCTGACCTGGTAATGTAGACACACAGTGTAGAGGGAGCTTTACACAATGCAGTCCACAAAATATACAGTCAATCCACTTTACAGTATATTCTGTGAAGCGCTTTGAGACGTCTCAAAGACGTGATAAGGCACTATATCAAATGCAAGGATTATTATTATTATTGAATCTGTCGCTGACCTGGGAGTGCTGGCTGCTGAGGCTGGATACTTATCACGTTGTTGAGACGTCTCAAAGCACTTCACAGGATGTACTGTAAAGTGGATTGACTGTATTTTGTGGGCGAAACGTGGCAAACAGTTGCACACGAGCTGGAAAATACAGAGAAACATTCTTGCAGACAACAATGGCCAGCAGGGGATGGGTGTGCAGGAAGCCCCTGGGTCTTGTGGTTCCGCATCCCAAAGCAGAGAGGCCCTGGACAGAGACACCGTCCGTCACTAAGGGGTAACACACAGTCAGCAGTGAGACCAATTTGCTCTTTATTTGGTCCAAAAAAAATCTTGAAATTGGTTTAATTATTCCATACTGATTCATTTTCAAGCAAGACAGTGGATGAGAATTGGAAAGTAATTGGAAGATTGCTGTCTGTCTGAAAATATATGAGCAAATTAACATAATTAAGGCTGCTGTTCAGTATCTTCAGAACCAGCTGTCACAATAAGCATATTTTGCATTAAAGCAAATGTCCTGCCGACAAACCATTACAGACAGTTCATCCACAAAATATAGTCAATTCACTTTACAGTATATTCTGTGAAGCACTTTGAGACGTCTAGAAGACATGATACGGCGCCATATCAAATGCAAAGATTATTATGTTTATGCATCCCATAGCAAACACTAACGGTATTTAGCACAAAATGTGATCTGCATTCCTGGAAGTTACAAGCCTCCCTCCTGGACCATCACACTGTTATTGGTGTGTGGTTTGGTCCTCCTGACATGAAAGATTCTATTTAAATGCAATTTGTTGTTGTTATTGTTACAGTTCACCACCCCCCACCACCCACCTCCAGGAGGATAGGATCCAGGTAGAACATTAAAGTGGAAAGCATCCTGTGACAGACAAGTACGTGGCAGTACTTGACATCTCTAATCTCAGTCCCAAGTGGGAAAGATGCCATGTGAGCGCAGTCAGGTTAACTAAACAAACACACCATGATGTGTGAATAAGAACTAGCAGCCTGACGCTGTGTAAACGTGGGTGTGATTAATGTGCAATTTTAATCTAGTTTCTAGGTGAAACAAAAGGAAGGCACCTGCTGCCAGCATAACAGCAGCTTCAGTGGCTTGGCACAAGGTGGCCAGCGTGCCAGGGTTGGCACCTGTAGTGGTTTCTGTCTGTCTGTGAACATTAACCTCCGTACGCGGCAGTATGTCTACACTCAGTCAGAGTGTACAGGACCAAAAATAGCCTCACAGTTTGTACAATAGAATTTTTCTTTGTACTCCAGATTCCCAAAATAATGGATCTCAAAACTATTAACATCATTATTATTATTATTATATGCAAGTTGTTTTTTTTGTAGTGAAAAACAAACAGCAAATGACAAAAGTTTGACTTTATACAGTTGGGAACTTGGTATCCAAAGCCCTTCTTGAATTTAACCACGAAACTAACGCCTTTTGATTTGAGACAGAGCAGAATTTGGGGAGTCGCTTTAATACCATATTAATTTGGAATGCAGCTCTCTTTATGAACTGCGGAAAACTGCGTAATGCTGGCTTCTTCTGACTTACAAGCCTCTGACGTTACTCTAATTGCGCTGTCAAAAGCTTAAGGTTCTCTTTCACGTGAAGCAGTTTACAAACTTAATCCACATGCTACACAGCACAGCAGCCAGGTACATCATTTCGAAAAGTCAATTTATTCAGATCTTCCAGAATTAGCAGCTGCTCGAAACGCACCCCGGGTGTCGGGAGCCCTGAGGAGAAGCTAATGCTCTAAGTCAGCCTCAACTTTCAGCTCCGAACCAATGGCCTTTCTCTGTTAAGTGAGTACCAACAAGCTCATATATCCACCTCAAACTTTGTTCAACTCAGATATCAGCAGCCACTGGCTTTCTCATCAGCACCATTACCTGTCTGGGTTGGTGGCTAGAGCCAGGGCTGGGACAGGGACCTGTGGCCACATTTCAAATGACTTCCCACTGCAACATGTGAAGAAACGCCGCAGGTTTTTTCAATATAATTTCTCCCCAAAAACACAGAACCTTTAACATTTGAGAAACATTCACTCCAAGTCAGGAGCTGAGCTGAACATGGGATTGACCTGCAAGAGGAGAGCAGTACATACCTCACTGACTGCTTGAAACGACTTGGGGCTGAGGCCGGATCGGTAGGATCTGTCTGACTGCTGCTGGTAGTGGAGACTGGGATAGGCCTCACTGTTTAACACTGAGGAGCTGGTGTTGGGGCTGGGCCCCAGAGGTTCCAGTGTGTGATCGTCCAACCCCTCCGGAGAGTGAGGCCTCCTGTAGTCCTCTAAGCTGTCCGGAGAGTGTGGCCTCCTGTATTGATGCTGGAGAGGAGTGTGGGAGCACTGGCTGTAGTCCGCGAATGGAGGGGGCTGCACGTGGAAAGGGTGGCAGCTGTTTGGGGGCAGTTCTGCCGAGGGAAAGGGATAAAGGCCATGCTGGGGGTATTTCCGAGGGTCTTTCATAATCTGGTCGCAGAAGTGGGGCATGTTCTGTGGAGCCGTGCTGTGGAGCTGCGTTTGGCAATACTGAAGGAGTCGAGATTGAGGAGGAATCTCTGAGAGTTCAGGGCTCAGAGGCAGGTTCCAGGCTGAAGGCTGCTCTGTGCTGAGGTACAAGATAATAAAAACCTTGTAAGCTTAACATGTACAAGTAAAATACAGCAGGCAGGCAATGTGTACATGAAAAATCTAGTCTAAAGACTGCATTCAAAAGCGAGAGGACCAGGGTTCGATTCCCGGGCAGGGCAAAACATTAAGCAAGTTTCCTAACACCACACACCTCGGGGGTAATAATAATAATGATCCTTGCATTTGATATAGCGCTTTTCACGTCGGGAGGACGTCCCAAAGCACATCACAGAACACACTGTAGAGTGAATTGACTGTATATTTGTGGGCGAACGCGGCAGCCAATTGCGCACAGCAATGTCCCACAAACAGCCGTAGATTGAAAATGACCAATTTATTATTGTTTTTGTTTTTTTGGAGGGATTATTATTAGGCTCTGTGTGGAGTAAGGAAACTTGCCCAAGGTTTCGCCCTGCCTGGAATTGAACTCAGGTCTCTCACTTGCAAAGCGAGTGCTCTAACCACTGAGCTACAGGACTCCGGGTAATCGGAACCCAGTTATTAGTTGGTTGGTGGATCACTCTCCGGGGGTAATAATAATAAAAATAAATAGTAAAATTAATTTGATCAGTCAATCCACAACCGTTCATGGGACACTGCTGTGAGCAATTGGCTGACGCGATTTGCCCACAAAGTCACCGCACTTTACAGTATATTCTGTGTATCACTTTGGGACGTCTCAACGACGTGATAAAGTGCCATATCAAATGCAAGGATTATCATTACTATAACAATAACTTGTATTTATATAACACCTTGCAGATGCGCGGTCGAAGAGGAGGGTCTTGAGATGTGCCTTGAAGGAGGCAAGGGAGGGAGCGAGGTGAAGGGACTGTGGGATGGAGTTTCATAGGGTAGGGACAGAGAGGCAAAAGGCCTGACCCCTGTTGGTGGAGCCTGCTGAGCAGAGGGATTACACAGGGATGTACTGACGTAGGAATAAAACAGGCTTGGAAAGCAACAGAGAGCCCCTGCTCCCATCCACAGCATGCTGTGGTCAGGTACAGGTCCTGCTCTCTGTTCCACACAGAGTGAGCTCTTGGTCCCAGCAGTAACACATAACAGAAGTAGAGATCAGAGTGCGTCTCCACATGGGGGAAAGTCAGACAATGAGTCAGACCCTCTCTCTCACATTTCCATCAGCTGGACAGAGTGCCGTGACTTGAAGCCTGGGAGTACGTTAGCAGCCTGGTTATTACACATGGCTTGGAAAGTTCTGGGAGGGAGTGGGGAATGCAATCCTGGGAGCACACTTACCTCTTGTGAGGGAATATTGGGATGTCTCCGTACAATTCCCCCATCTGGCTATAGGGAGACTGCAGGCTGAACTTGGAGGTGCGGTACTCCTGGAGCAGGGCTTTATGGGCGTTGGAGGAATGTAGAGCAATGCCGCAGCTCACCAGCTCGTGTACTGGGTGTGAGGAGCCGTGCTCAGTCCACTGACCCAGTCTGGAATGGAATCGGTTTGTCTTCTGCACATCTGCCTTCAGCAAGGAATTGGCTGTTCCTAGTAATAGAGACCTCGTCACCTCGGTTGCCAAATAATGATCACAATATATAAGAACATAGGTACAGGAGAAGGCCATTCAGCCCCTCGAGCCTGTTCCGGCATTCTATAAGATCATGGCTGATCTGTACCTCAACCCTAACCCACCCTTGTCCCATATCCCTTGATACCTTGACCTCACAAAAATCTATCCAACTCAACCTTGAAAATTTGAAGGGATCCAATATAAATAGCACCTTCAACACCGAAAATTAGGTCCTGGATCGAGTTCAACCAATTAGATCTCAGCTTCACTTGGTGAAGCACTTTATTTTCATTCATATCTTCCCTCCCTCCCTGCCCTCCACCCCTCCTAATCCCAATCCCCACCTCGGGGGAAATTCCTTGACTATCCAGCACCTTGGGATGATTTTCCCGTCATAAAAGGTGCTATAGAAATGTAATTTGTTGTTGTTGATTGTCTGTTCTAATTTATAATTGCTCTACAGTCCCACTGGCCCTTACTCCCTCTCATGTTGGGAGGACATCCCAAGGCGCTGGACAGTCAAGGATTTGCTCCCCGAGGTGGGAGCTGGGATTAGGAGGGGTGGAGGGCAGGAAGAAATGAATGACCCTCTCAGACCTTTCTATTCCCCTCCCTCCTGTGAAGGTCTAACTTCCTCTTGAATGCATCGCCACTCTCTAATTCAACAAGGGTTTCAGTTCATCTTGTGTGCACATGTCCTTGGCTCGTCGAGGAGAACTTTTGGAAGGGATTTAACACCTGCTTCAGTGATAGCATTTAGGGTTAGAGACTTACCCAAGAGTGCTTGCCCATGAAAGATCCGGTCACCATCAGCAGCATGAAGGAAGTGGAGGCGCTGGGCTGCGTGGTGTTTGGAGAGGTTGGTCAGGCTCGACGTTGAGGCTGGGAACTGGTGATGGAGCCCGAGGTGTGGGGAGAGTTGGCTTCGGCTGCTGTTCTCAAACGTAGGGGGCAGTGAAGTCTGGGTCTGGACGTAACGATCGTGTCCTGAAAGTTGTCCAGGAGAAAGCTGAGGGATAGAGAAGCGTTTCTGAGGACTACCCAGATTCTGGTGGCTAAAGGGTCTGTTGGACGGCTGAATGCTTTGCAAGCAGAAGCTTTGTTGTGAAGTGTACATCTGCTCGTGAACGTGATGGTGGCTGGGGCTGTACTTGACAGTGGAGCCCATGTTCATGGAATGGTCAGAAAACCACACCGCTCCAGCTTGTACCTGAAAGCGAGGAGGGGAAAAAAACAGGAAATCACACGGAGGTGCTCAGAGAGGGAGAGAGAACAGACTCCCTGGGGAGATGGAGTTAGCAGAAAGTGTCGTAAGTTTCAAGAACAAATTAGATAGATTTCTATTAGAAAATAATATCTGGGGATACAGTGTATAATCAAGCGATTGCCACAATGGTGGAAGGTGAACTGAATGGACCTTGGTCTTCTTTCGATAGCAAAATTCTTATGTTCTTATCCATGTGCATCCCTGAGGGGAATAGCCATAGCAACATGCATTAAAATAGGAGCAGACAAACAACTTACTTTTAGTCCTTTCCCAGGCAATGAGAAGTGCTGGTCTGACCTGGGCTCAGTAGTGACACCAGTTGAGAATCAGAGGACGTGGCACATGCTAACATGTGGTCGACCTAAAAGCCACACTTCCCCGGCATAATTATTTTCCTAACCCACGGCCGGGAAACAGAACCAGGTAGCTTCTCCTCCGCCTTTCATGTTAAGCAGGATTTACAAGTTAAACATGCAAAGCTACCTTTTCTCTCACATCAGTGTTCTTTCTGCCCGGAGCCCAAAACGAACCCACATCCGATCGGGATGTCATTCTTTCTCTACCTGAAAGTGAGGCATAAAAATACGTCAAGAAAAAGTGTCTGTTCACCACATTTTCAACTAGCTACACTTTCAGCTGGACTGACTGCTGCAGACAGGAAATCACGGTGTTTGGTTTCTCACAGCTGCACGTATTACGTCTCTGATCAGCAGATACAAGTTGACTCTTTCTGCCTCTAGAGCTCTTCCACAAATAATGAATGGAAGTTCTCCTTCCACTTACCAACTGGTGTTTGAGCCCAGAATGCTGGGACTCAATTTAAAGAGAGTGTGATACAGTGACTGGAAACTGATGGGTGGGGATTCTAGAGTTCGGATGGTTCACCCAAACCTCTGATGATCTTCCCAATGAGAAGGGATCATTTGCTGATAGCTTGGTCTAGTCATTGCAATGACTGCTTTATGCACAAAACACAAGCCTTTCTGATTTTTTGCCTCAAGCCAGAGATGTTTGAGTGTGGGCTTCTGTGGGCTTCACTGTGATGATGTACCTACTTCAAATATGGTCATCACATTTGGGCAAATTGGTGACAGGATAAACTGGCCAGCACCTGCTGGATGCTATCAGCTCAATAGGCAAAAAGACCAATGTATTTTCTCAATTGGGACATTTAAAAGGGAGATAACAATAATAAATTGGTCATTTTCAATCTACGACTGTTTGTGGGACATTGCTATGCGCAATTGGCTGCCTAGTTCACCCACAAATATACAGTCAATTCACTTTACAGTATATTCTGTGAAGCACTTTGGGACGTCCTCCCGACGTGAAAAGCGCTATATCAAATGCAAGGATTATTAAGGATTATTATTTAGATAGATGGAGACTTGGGAAGTAAGGGTGTTAAGGCGGTTGGGGGGAAAAAAGGAGGTAAATGAAATTAAGGATCTGCCATGTTGAAATAAATTGGTGTAGCTGGCCTGATGGGTTGACTGAGCTCTTGCCATGGTCTAACAGCAATATGATTTGATAATTCCCATGAAATCCCCTCAGACCAGTGGTCCAAACACTCATTGCCTCACTATTAAAAAAAAACTTCTGACTAATTTCAGACAAATTACGTTTCCATAGAAATTAACGTACCCAAAGTCTGGTGTAAAGCTTTTTCATTTGAATGGTAAAGGTGTCCTTGCAATTGACAGGTGAATACGTATAGACTACTTTATTAACGCCATGACTCAGAGTCAGCTCTCAACCAAACTGAAACAAAGACTTACATTTTTCATGAAAGTGGCATATAATATACGTATATATATATAAATTTAAGAGACTCAGAATCAATATGCAATACACCAAAAGGCACTCTTCAATCGAAACTGATTTATCCACATGCCCAAGAAAATAAAAAGCACATTGCCAACGAACACAGCATCATCTTGAACAACGCCATGACAAACATCCAAGGCCTGCCGATGACTCCAGGGAGAGAGAGAGTGTGCATCCCATTCCAACAATCTATGTGTAGGTGGGATGAATGGAATTCGCAGCTTGGTTTGGAGACTTAAGCGTGGTGGGCACCTAACCTGTAAAAGGGAACCCACCCAGCGGGTGTGTGGTTTCCAGCCATTACCCACCAGATTTGCTGTGCTCCAGATCCTGGGATGATGTGTCCACACTGTAGGGCCCGGGAGAAAGGCGACCGTGGGGCTGTAACAGGCTGAGATTGTAGGCCACGGTCGCCTGCCGAGCCACCAGCCTCGGGTCTAAAGCCAAGCGGTTCTGGTATCCTGACCAGGTTACCTAAAGAGTTAGAACAGACGAGGTAAATAACCAGGGCATTTTCTCTCCAAGTCTAACACATTCTCTGTGCACCTTTATTATTTAAGCGCTCTGAGACACTGCCCCGCGTGAAGCGCACTATATAAATGCAAGTTGTTGTTGTTAAGCTGACACCTGTACCAAAAGCACCTCCATATTACCTAGGCTGAATTTTCTAAAATAAAGCAATGGATAAACTAAATGTTCACCAATACAAGACCATCAACACCATCTGATACAAATTTATTACGATTATCGACTGTTTAAGGAGACTGTTCAAAGACCATGACAGCCAACATAATGTGGGCAATGTGGTCTCTACATTCAATGTCCTTCAAGAAACGCTATCTGGTGGGTCTGTGAGGTCAACGGCAAGCGAGGGGTTAGAACCAGGAAACAGTGTCATCACCCACCACAGTCTCCACTCACAATTGTATTGCCCACAAAATACACAGTCACTACACTTTACAGTATATTCTGTGAAGCGCTTTGAGACGTCTTGAAGACGTGATAGGGCGCTATATCAAATGCAAGGATTATTTATTAGATTATTATTATCATCTCCAACCTCAATCCCCTTGCCCACAGCCCATTCTCGTGTGCCCTGATCATAGGGACAAAACGTAGTGTCCAGCAGTCTTCATCACATCAAGTGGGAGGAGGAGAAAGAGAGAGAGAGGAAGTGAGAGAGCATTAACACCTGCAGACTGTAGTGCGGGATAAATGGATGAGTGGCACCAAAAAAAGTCACGTCGCTAGGAAACGGGCTGCTTTTAAATGCTGAAATATTAATGCATCCGATAAGGCAAAACGAGTTTTCACAGATGGCTGAACAAAGTCTATTGAGATAGAAGTGAAATAGCTCTGGATCCGAATTGCTTTCAGTAATGTATTGCTCACAGTGGATGAAAGGCATTTGAGTACAGAACGATGACAGGAACTGCAAAATAGCAATTTCATCTTAATATCTGAAAAAAATTGATACAGACAGCCAATAGAGATGCTAACGAGCAAAATGCTTGAAGTCCACCTAAAGTGACATTTCCCCATCTGCTGATCAGTTCAATCACACTGGGGAGCATCTGCAAACTCACTCCAGGAGAGGGTTGTTCCACAGCTACCAGGGGCCACTTACAAAGACAATGGTTGTAGAGTCCTGTTGCTCAGTGGTAAGAGAACTCGCCTGACAAACGAGAGGACCCAGATTCGATTCCCGTGTGGGGCAAAACCTTAGGTGAGTTTCCTTACTCCACATGCCTTTGTTTACCAGCAGTAAGTAGGAACCCGTCGTTAGTTGATTGGCAGATCGCTTTCCAGGGCATAATAATCCCTCCAAATTTTTTTTAAAAATGTGGTCACTCAATCCACGACTGTTTGTGGAACACTGCTGTGCGCAATTGGCTGCTGTGTTTCACCCACAAAATACACAGACAATCCACTTTACAGTATATTCTGTGAAGAGCTCAAAGATGTGATGGGACACTATCCTGCACGCAAGGCGCTATATAAATGCAAATTGCTGTTGTTATAAGGCTCTATATCAAATGCAAGGATTATTATTATTATTGTGCAGCAGGAAGGGCTGCAAAATGGGTTACATTGAATAAAGTTTTAGAAATAGGATCCAACTTAGAGAGTGAGATATGAGATATTGATTTCAATGTGTGCATCCAACTGTGGGGCTGGCAAGCTGTTGCTCCAAGATCGAGGCATGTTCCTGCACAGCCCGGAGATATTTTGCGACATTTCTTCGTGGGATTTCATAATCAGGAAATCCGAAGGGAGACTCCCTCTGGTAACTAGAAATGGGTCGGTCCAACTCGAGGGAACCCAACTCTGAAAATGATCCCACTGAAGCAGAGTTCCTGGGAATTATTGCCACAAAATTAATTTCTTAATTAAGAGATATTAATCATCCTTGCATTTGATATAACATCTTACCACGTCGTTGAGACATCTCAAGCGCTTCACGGGATATACTGTAAAGCAGATTGACTGTATATTTTGTGGGCAAAACAATACAGATACAGAATAACTACAGAATGGACCTAGTTATTGCAGAAGAGTGGTAGAGCCTCGGTCAGGAGCAACAACAGTTTGGGAGCATGTAAAGAGGAAACCTGGAACTCACTTTAAAGAGCTGTCAGAACAGAGCTGAATTCCTTATTTCAGACGGAAATAACTCCCTCTCTAGCACATTGTTTCCCTCTCACTGCGTTTGCACACGTATCCTGCAGGCCTGTGGCGATACAGCCCACACTGCAGTTGATGAGGTTGAATGCACTGGCATAAGCAAATCAGCACAGCGGTTCTCCTCACAGAGGCACGGCAGGGTTTAGAGCATTAACGCAGACAGGAATCAATGCTTACCCCACTCGTGGATCACAACCCGCAGGGATGTTTCCAAGTTCCCACAGATTAGCAGTCTGATGTGATCAGTTAGCAGAGAAGCGAGGCTAGACTCTGGAATGGGAGTCACACTGAAACACTGATGCTCTGTGACTCTAAAGCATGGTTTTGAAGGCAACACGAAGATAGGAACAGGAGTAGGTTATTCAGCCCCTCGAGCCCGTTCCACCATTCTATTAGATCGTGGCTGATCTGTACCTCAACTCCAGATGGAGTGGCAAACCAGTGTGTGCTGAGGCAGCTGGACAAATGCACACAGGCTTAGGCATGAAGGGCAAGTGTGAAGGGCTGACAAGAGGAAGTATTTCTTTGCACAGAGGAGAAGTCAACAGCTGGAAAAGGTTTTCCAGGATAGGTGGTCAAGGTTCTTGGACTCATTTAACGAACAGCTTAATGCTGTAATGAGAAAATGGGAGCACAGAGGAGCCCCTACTGGTGAGAGGCAAGCCAAAAATGAGAAGCATCACATTTGAAGTTACCATTTATTCTAGCTCTAAATAACTATAATATAATCTCCATCATTGGCAACAGTCACAGCAGGCTCAAAATGCCCAGCCCAGACATGAAGCCAAATGAACCAGCGATTGTCTAGTGAGGATTAACTGGCACTTGACCTTCTCCCTGCATTCAGTTAATCAGATATTGTCTGTGGAGCCAGAGATTAGAGCCCACTCTTCCAATGACTTTAGGACTGGCTACTGCTGTGCATTCAGAACTTAAAGCTCCTCCCTTGAGGGCTTCATTGTGTTCTTCAGGTAACATCTGTTGCACACGAGAGCACGACTCAAACAGATGCATGTACTTAGCACAGCTCAGACCAGCTCAGGCTTGCATTACAGTCCCATAACACAGGGAGAACTGCCTACAAGTGACTCAGTGGTTAGAGCACTCGCCTCACAAGCGAGAGACCTGGGTTCGATTCCCGGGCAGGGTGAAACATTGGGCAAGCTTCCTTACTCCATACTCCTCTGGTCACTTAGCAGTAAGTAGGAACCCAATTGTTAGTCAATTAGCAGATCACTTTTCCAGGGATAATAATCCTTTCAAAATAATAATAATTTGGTCACTCTATCCAAGACTGTTTGTGGGACACTGCTGTGCAGAATTGGCTACCGCATTTCATCCACAAAATACAGTCAATTCACTTTACAGTATATTCTGTGAAGCACTTTGAGACGTCTTGAAGATATGCGGAACACCCATAAACACCTAGAGTTATGCACAACATTACACAGCACACGTCAACAGTCACATTACTTTTTTTTAACAAAAATAAGAAACTAAAATTTTGGGGGGAACAGAAGATTTTAGGCTCATTGAGGAATTGGTGCAACAAGGCAGCAAGGCTACTAGCTATGTGATGACTATGGGGCGGTAATGCAAGTGTTAAATGCAAATTGAAACACAACTTACAAGAATTCAACATCAAATACTTTAAATTCTTTCACCTTCATCTCTTTATCCTTGGCACCACAGGTATTGAGTACGTGTGAAGCGGAAGGAACACATGTACAGTTGGATGAACATGGTGAGAGTACAAGAGCGAATTAAATAATAATAATAATCCTTGCATTTGATATAGCGCCTTATCATGTCGTTGAGAAGTCTCAAAGCGCTTCAAAGAATATATTGTAAAATGGGTTGACTGTATACTATATTTTGTGGTCGAAAATTGGGCACAGCGGTATCCCACAAACAGTCAACCACGGAGCGAGGGAGGAGCGAGGCTGCACCAAGAGATGGTACAAATATCAGCTGTACGGCACATTGTATCTCAGCCTTTTATTCTTTCCTTAAAATTTGTAAGATTTACTTTCTACGGGTCTGTGAAATAAATTTCCCCAACTCCTCTTCAAATCCGAATTTATTTTTAGGCGCTACGCCAAAGAGCATTTACAAAATACCATTGAAAGGGCAAACTGGCGGCCAAAAATTGTCGACACTTCAGGCTAGGGAGAGTCCACATCCCAGTTATTGACTGACAATTGCACTCTGGCTTCCCTCAGGGAGGACCGAATCAGTCTTGTGTGTGGGACACAGCAATTAGCCAAGCTGGCAGGCACCTGGGAACAGGGCTGTCTCCCCCGCCCTCTGTCTCCCCGGAGCGAACATATCAAGGTGGGGAGGGGAGTAAAAAACGGAGCCGAACAGAGTAATTCTAAACATTTAAAAACCACATTGCTATTCTTTTCATAGTTATTGCATTAAAATTCTACTTTATGCTCCTGCTTGCTGTAACTTTCCACCCCAAATAGACAAAGACTCGGAAGAGCGAGCTAACCAAGCTTTTGACGATTGTAGTCTTAAGGTTAACGTTTCCTTTAGCAAAGCCTGGAGCACATCAAGTCAAAGGCACTGCCCTTGAGTGTCTGCTATACTCTGTGGTGTGCCCAATATGCTTAATGCAACAAATCCATGTTAAACTATTTCCTTCCTCCTTCCTCAGTGCTGCCAGCATGAGCCATTGTGAGACGACCTGTGGTGGGAGATAATGGGGGAATTAAGTATTGCTGTTATTAGTTACAGATGTTGAGATCAGTATTGCAAAGCAATTACTGGACGGAGGGAACACA